AGAGAGAGAGAGAGAGAGAGAGAGAGAGAGAGAGAGAGAGAGAGAGAGACTGTTTTCCCTGCTTTGAGTGTGAAGAAGACTTGCAGCCACTAGAAGCAATTTTTAGCCGTCTCTTTGTCACAGCGAAATGAAGGGAGCAGCAGCCAAACTCTACCTCTTAGGCAGGAAGATGTTTCAGTGAGAAGCTCCTCCTTAGAAAATAATTAGCTGAAATAAAGGAAAAATGAGCGAAGCAGATGTTTTTAACACAAACTTCAAAGTATTTTTCTGCCCCTTTTTGTGTTTGAGTTTTGAGTCAGTAAAACTGTTTTTAAACATGTAACCTAAAGAAAACGAAGGTGCAACAACCCATTATGGAAAGAAAGGAATGCTTGTCAGATAAAACTTGTGCCAAATAATGGACGGTGATTTCCAATCATTTTTAATACATTTAATTTATCTTTACTGTCAGACAAACACAATTTCTTCTTTCTGAAAAAAATGAAAAGATGTGATTTCTGCAGTTGCTCAATAATGGTGTGTAAAATACACAAACTAAAGGCTGCTTGTACGAAATACGGAGAAAAAATCATCCAGCCTGCTTTTGAAGAAGATCCTTGGCTGTCCTCTCCCCTCCATCTCGGACATTTATTCATCACGCTGCCTCAGTAGAGCTGAGCAGATACTCAGGCACAGCTCTGTGCTCTGAACTGTTTGACTTGTTGCCCTAAGAAAAGCGCTACAGGTGCACCAGAACAAACAGATTCAAGAACAGCTTTTTTCCGAAAGCCATCAATTTACTGAACTCTCACATACACTGACTCTTGATTTGCAATCAATGAGGAACTGTGAAATAAATACATCTGTGGGACATATTTCACTTTATTTTGTAATGATCACCTGCAATACCAGCATAATCCATATACCTCAATATACAAAATGCGCAATATTTAAGTAATGTGCAATAATGTCGTTTAAATTTCTTCTAATTTAGTTTCACACAACCAACACTCATTGTGCTTTTTATGTGCTTTGTATTGTTTTTCTATTGTTGTGGATATATATATATATATATATATTA